AAAACTCTAGGTCTTTCTACGTTTCTTTTTTTTTTAAGTATTGCCCATGACTAGCCATCGGCGCCTACTTTTTTCCTAGTATATCAAGAATTAAAAAAATACGAAAAAGGTGTATAAATCTATGAACAATACATATTAAGTTTATCTATATTTTTTATTATCAATTTATGCCTTCTTTGAATAATAGCGATCATAAAACTAAAGCAATATAAAATTTATAAAGACTTCAAAAGTATACCAACTGAACGTTCACGTTTCAAACGAATTGGGCCGGTGTCGAATTATAATTTCCTCCAAAATTAAGAATGGTTTTATTACAATGGTTTTTATTTATGTCATAAAGAAAATTATACACTTTTTACAATTTCGAATTGTGAAAATGATAACTGTATTTCACGAGGCCGTAAACCTGATATTACGTCGGTTTATGGAGAGTTTTGGCTTCGAATTGTACTTACATTGATTAAAGTGTTGTGTGTATTTAGTAAAATTTTACTTTATTTCCATATTTTTTTAATATAACATGTATGATGATAGTATTGTCTTTGATTGACATAACCTTTACACATTTAAAGAAAAAACTTTTCGTTAACGTGCGTGGTCACCGTGACCACGCACGCTGTAAAGCACGCGAAACGTCGGATAAATTTAAAATTATGTTAAATAATTGTAAATTTATAATAATACATAACTTTAATCCGGTTAAAAAGTTTTTTCTTTAAATGTATGATGATGTTCTATAATAGTATGTTGGTTTTTGATTTTCTTTATTTTCTTTAGGCAATTTGCTTACATCATTGACACAATCTACGAAACTCTAATGTAACAACAAATAATAGATGATCCCTCAACTTGTATGTACTGTTTTGTATAGATCAAGGGCTAAGCGGTTTATCTGATGTTAAGTACAGGGACACACAGAGGACACGCGAGTGCGTTTCCGGCTTTTTATCAATCGGTAGGCTCTTTTCCTAAAGGGTTCTAGTTTGAATTGATTTGGAAATTATTGCATAGGCGGCTTAACATAATGATGAGTGGCAAAGCAAGTCTAAGATTGACAGTTAACTTTTATATAATTTACCAAAACAAACGTTTGTTTTTTCTTATTCTACGGTAGGTATTACATAAGATAGCTTAAACATGATAAGTGATAACCTAAATTAAATCGAAACATAAAATATTGAGAAGTCTACTTACACAATCATTGTTACACATGACACACCAATTAAATTATAATTGTCAGATAAGAGTCAAATATGTTTAAGTATCTTTCATCACAAAATAAATACATATATGATGTTAGTGTTTAAAGTATCACCTCGATTTATTGCCAGTTCTTCTCTTCCATTCTACGCCCTTGATTTGAGAACTGGCAATAAATGTAAAATTAGAAGCATTTAATGTTTACTTCTTTTTTGACGTTCATATGTGTACAATGTACATTGTGTTACCTATATGAATAAATGATTTTTGACTTCGACGTCCGTCGTTCCATAGATGAGGGATTTTTAAGGCAGTTTTTGCCGCGCACCACCACTGTGGAACCTGGAAAAGTTACCCACCGATATATTTCCGAACCAATTAGACTTAGGGTCCTTCAAGAAAAGAGCGAACCAATTCTTAAAAAGCCAGCAACGCATTTATGAGCCCGCTGCCAATGTGAGTGTCTATCTCTTATCAGATGAGCCTGCTGCCTATTTGCCCCTGTTACATTAAAAAAGTATTCTCAATGGGTTAGGTAGACGAACTGGCGTAATTTTCTGATGCCTCCAATAAAATAATTTAGGTCAATGTTTATCAAATAATTATATGTATTTAAAAAATGCTATAGGTCACGGACGGAGTCACCACTATCATGAGAATTTTATCCAGTTCCCAGTGGCCATGGATCTAGTGAGAAACTTTTACTGTTAGAGAATGCTAGTTTGAATTAGTGATTAGTCCTTAACAATTGCACCGTCTCAGAAGATTCTATAAGAACTGCTATGTCATATGTATATCTCATTAAAACCATCAACACAGTAGACGAGCACTTTGATAGGGGCGCACTACGGGCGCGTGTTACTTATCGATACAAGAACTGGTTAGAACCAGAAATAGCAGCACGCTTTGATTACTCAGATGTGTGGCAAGGAACTGCATGTCAGAGGTCATAATTGATGTTTATGGAAATTTCTGTAATAAATAGTTACGATATTTCAATGAATATGGGGCATAACTTTTGATCGTTCTATATCTACGCATCCTAAAAACTTAATGATAATATCTCACTATGTGGGAGATATTATATAAAAGTCATACCTACATACAGTTTTTTTTTTAAATTTCAGTACATATACAAAATTATAAAATATAGTTCTGCCGATGTATAGGATTATAAAATCCGAAAACGATTTTGGCCGTCAATTTTTGAAGTGAAAACATCTTTAGCATCGTTGTGATTCGGAAGTTAAAGACTTTCTTTATTTTATTGATAAAATCAAAATTAAAGATTTCTATTAAACCTAAAAATAAAAATAAAAATAGAAAAATAATTTAATAAAAAAACTAATACTACATTTAGATGGTGAAAAAAAGTGTAATTTACATATTATTTATTATAAAACTTTTTTAATCATTATAATTTCTATCCAAATTAATAATTAATATTAAACTTAAAAATTAAAATTCCATTCGTCTCATTATCTTGAAACCAACATTTTTGAAGGTTTCACTTCTACCACTTGTGAATTGCACATGTTTTTATCACAAAATATAAATTTGGATTTGATGAGACATTGAGTTGTATTTATAACATATAATTAAAATTGATTAATTACCCACGGTAATAAATATAGAATAACAAAACATTATATTATCAAAATTATATACCAATTTTGCATAGGTAATCGCACTTTACTAGTATAAACATATTAACTTTTGTCTTGCTTATAAATCCGTGGATTAGTCGAATTTTAAATTTCGAAATCTTGCTACCGTCTGGAAGAAAACATTTTTGATTTTAAGAGAGGGCTGATCGTGATTTAAGTTTTACAAAAGCTAACAAAGACTGCACTACAGGGCAAAAAATAGAAAACGCATTCATGCTCTAAAAATAGACTTTCCAATTATATTACGTACAGTGAAGATAAACATCATGAATTCGGAGTGCCGTGAACTGAGACTCCAGGTTATACCTAGGTAACACTGAAAATTGTTTGAATGTGAAAAACGGCTAATGTAGAATGTTGCCAATACTTTTATTATTTTTCGAAGTAATCTCCGTTCCTCTCTACACTTCGTCGCATTCGATGGAACCACTGAGAAAAGCAGTGGGCCCATTCTTCCTTAAGGGTGTCATCTATGGCATTTTCGTACGCTTTCACCGCATCAGCAGGGCTCGTAAAGCGAAAATCTCGAATTTTATCTTTTGTTTTGGGTTCGTAGCAATATATCTAGCTCTCGTCACCCGTGACGGTGTCAAATACAGTATTTGAGTCATTGCCGTTAAACTTATCTAACATTTGGCAACACCAGTCCATGTGTTTCTGGTTGTCGGTTAAAGTATGGGGAATCCATCTGGTACAAAGCTTCCTGACGCCTCAATATTCGTGTAATACTTTTTGAACTTGACTCATACCAATACCTAGGCTTGCCCGTATCTGCTGATAGGTCACTCTCTTATCTTCCTCTATCATGCGTCGCACAGCACTGATGTTATCTTCAGTAGTCGCTGTTAAAGGTCGTCCCTCAGGCGGATCATCATTGAGATTGCTACGTCCACGCTTAAACTCGTTAAACCAATTGTAAATAGTGGCACGAGATGGGGCTTCATTAAGAAATGCTAATCGCAGCCTATCATAGGTTTGTTGTTGAGTAAGCCCTCAACGAAAGTCATAATAAATCATTGACCAAACATTTTCTCGCGTTAGGTTCATTTTCACGTGTAATAAGTGTTTTAGATTTGCCGCCAATTTACAAAAACAGACCAAAGAGTTCTAAAATTAAAATTAAAAAAAGTTTTCATAAGCAATGTTTCTGATTGGCCAATTCTAAAAACTTTCAGTATTACCCACGTATTGGTCGTCAAACATTTGTTAAATTAATGTCACACTATAGTTTATAAGAATTATAAAAATTGTATTGTAACAATTTAACATTAAGAAGAAAGAAGGTATCAAAAATCCACTTTTTTCTTGCGTGTTTATCTGTGTGACGTTACTGTTTAGCTTAAGTTCATCTCATCGTCAAAGTTAAGCTCATACAAAACACAAATGCCACTTTGAATTCAAAAACCGGGGTGCCGTGATCCAAAACTCAATTATTACTTATTAAATTGCTATATCTTAAATTATATTATTATTCTTACCAACACGTCAACATCCTGCTATAAACAAGAAAATCATCTTTAGAAATATAGTACATTATGTGCATCTAAAGTGGCAGTTGATAATATTTAATTGTGATTAAACCTTGTGCAATTACGTTTCCGCGCACTAAGATGCACCACACAGCTAGCAGATGATAAAAGTACAATAATATTATATAAAACTTATAATCATTTAAATTCAATTAATTGTATGACTCGACATAATGTATGTACGATCTCTTGGTTGAGTCGCATTTCTTTAATTTGACATCTGGCAATATATGTAAACTATTTAGTATTTTTATTAATTCATAACCTACATATATTCCGTGAATTAATTAAAACAACTGATACATAAATTAAACTTTATTATTAATAATACTTTAATACCTTATAAATATATAAATACTAAACACATATTAAAACATTGTAACAATTTTCCTTGCCTCACCAGGAGGATAACTAATACTCATTTTAAAATAACAAATTATTAATTAATACGTGTACGAAATCTATAGAAATACAATTTATTAATAATGTAATGTGACAATATAAATAGGTTTTTGGTATTCAAAATATTAATCGTTATCAATTATTAAATTATTATTTATTATATTGTCATTTCAAATTTAGTTTCTCTTTAAAACATCTATTAAATTAAGTCAGTTTCAACAAAACCATAAAGACGGAGTCGACTAAACCCACCATCGGGTGCCATAGTGACGCGAATGTGATTGATGACTTCGGAATGGCAGCTAATCCAATGCTCTTTATTCGGTGAGAGCTGCAAGAATACATTGATTACAATTATTGATTAGTGACTAGTTAACTGGTAATGATATGCCTAGTACCTACCACAGTCAATGTAATTGATGTATTAGTTTATAGTTGCAAGCATTATATTGGTTAACAATTCTTTAATCACTCCTAAATATAATAATCCCTTATGACATTAGTCCAACACGAAGATGCCGTTTTGAGTCTTATAATGAATAGCCGATACAGTCATAGACGGCCGTTTGAAACACGGTGCTTGTTGCTGTTTACTATTCTGTTTATATATCTAATAACATCGTAACCTAGGCAACAAATATGATAAAAATTTCTAAATGTACCAGATGTACTTCGTATCATATATATTCGTGTCAAACTATTTTTTTAAATAGACCAAAGAGTCCGTGTCTTATATTATAGCTATGTAATACATGTTTCTAAAGGCATCTAATATACATATGACAACCAAATGACTATGTTTTATTTCTAAAAAGAGAAAAAACATCAAATATTTCCCAATTTTATTGGTAATTTCAATTGTCGTTTTAGTATTTTTCTTTACTTATTATTTATGTCTATCACCGTTTAAACCTTCCCTGAGCTTCCACAAGTATTTCAATAATTAAAAATCGGTCCAGCCATTCTCGAGTTTTTCCATTTATACAAATATAGATTAAAATAATAATGAGACACTTATATATTATTTTTTTGGTATTCTCAAAATCATACCTTATATGGTTTAACAATGATTTCCCAATCAATGTCCGATGCATTAGTGTACTCATTTTTCAGAAAAGCTCCCTCAATTTTCACTGTGTCTGGAAAATTTCCTTTGAACTGCGTCGTGTCTATACAAATCTCTTTGGCTCTACCGGGAAATCCTAGCTCGAAGATTGCCCATTCTTCTCCTATTAACATTAATTTAAAGTTAACATAAAGATATTAGACTCATAAATTGTATAATTAGTGTAATAAAAATATGGGAAAGTAGTCAAATAAAAAATATGTATTGGTCCCAGAGTATATACAAAGTAGTTGGGTTTACCAACCAATTCCGTGGCGCTACAACCCTATATAGGATATGGTCTCAGATTACAACTGTTTTTCAAGTTATACTTCTTTTGGCACGTTAGGGAAAAAATGTGACGGTAAATTTTAACACTGCGCGCGCACACCGTCACACGAAACCGACACCCTGAATTTAGCTATAGTTAACATTTTATTTTGATATTTAAATAAACTTTATTTAACTAGATAATGCGTTATAAGCACGTTAGGGAAAAAATGTGACGGTAAATTTTAACACTGCGCGCGCACACCGTCACACGAAACCGACACCCTGAATTTAGCTATAGTTAACATTTTATTTTGTGATATTTAAATAAACTTTATTTAACTAGATAATGCGTTATAATAAAACTTTCAATGTACTAAATGCCTTTCTTCTATTGTTAGTGTTGTTTTTTCTACAAACGTAGAATAAAAATTTTGAAAAGATTTTTATCTTGTTACGCCAAAGAAGTATAAGTTCTAATGCTTGTACATAGGTACACACACGATTTTTTTTAACTTTTCCTTTTAAACACAAGTAAATATCGTGGATTTTCTGTTAACAGGACTATACAAAGTTTACGTTTATCTAACGTGTCCATTCTCAGTTTAAAAATATTTGACATTGTATCTAGATAATAAGCTTAATGTAGATCATAATTGACATGATATTTTTAGGATTTTTATTTGATATACCTGGTACTTTAAGGGTCCCATCTTTATTCTTTGTAATAATGCTAGGTCTATCAAGCCGCCTTGCTGTCTCCCAACCATCCGCCATTACTGCACTCTTCCCTGGTTTCAATATATTTTTCGGATGTCCGAAGTGGGCATTTGAAAAGTCTGTAATATTCAATATATTTAACAAATAAGAATATTTAGACGAATGAAGTAGGTTATCCATTCATGTTTTTTTTATTACTCAACCTTGAATCGTGATGTCTTTCTTTTACTTTATACTAATTATTAGTTATGAGATCTATTTAAAATATACATACCAATAGACCGAGCACCATTCAACATAGATGCTAAGTCAACAAGTTGGTCACTTGGTGGTATGTCCGGCTTTACTTCAGCAAATACACGGAGCCTTGCGATGCCTCCATCAGGATATATATTAAGTCTCAAGTGTGTCCAAGCTTCATCGCTGACCACCTGTTAATGTGTTAAAGAAAACTTATTTAATATCGTGTATCAACGATTCTACTTATAATGCAATCCCCGAATATCAGGTTAATATCTGCGGTTTACGTTTTGTGGAAGCCATTTTTCCCCGATTAAATTTCTCGATAAGGATATTTCAATATTAGAACATTAATATGTTTTTTTCTGAGCCAGCTTAGTGGTCGGAGACCAGTCGGTCGGCCCAGGTACCGCTAGATCGAGAGGAGGACCGTACGTGGTACAGGTCAGAAATTGCTGGAACTTCTACGGAGGCCAAATGACTTTTTGGGTTGTAGAGCAAGTGGTTTGAGTGATATTAATAGTAAATTGATAATAAGATAACCAATTTAGAAACGAAATAATAATTAATAAAAATTTTAAGGTAACAATCTCGCCTATAAATAACTATTTAAGGTACAAATTAAAAAAACATATTAAATTCCGTTACAAACACAAACATAATTAAATATCGAATGACTTCCTTATAAGATACTATCAGCCTGTCTCAACTTCGTGTGGCTGAAGATTTGTTTTATATTATACTAAATATAGAGCCTATGTTCATCAAATCAATGAAAAATTTCACAAATCCATATAGGAAGGAGCCTATTCAATGGAAACAAACAAACGCATGATCTTAATAATTTAAATAAGCTAACCTTTTGAAAGTTCATCCTAGTATTCTCATAGCCCGGCTGCAGCACAGTTATTGGGACGATTTCCTCCCATTTGTCTGTACTAAGCAGACTCATTAGTTCCAAGTCGGACTCGCTCGCCGCAGTACCCATCCGTGAAATTCTCTTCGGTATTAATGCTTCTTCTGTAATTACAAAGTATTATAAATTACTACGGTATGAATTATATTTAAATGATTTGAGTACTGGCATTAAATATAAAGCTGGATTTTAATAACATACGGGTACTAACACATGGACCAAACTTTTTAAATTAATTTTAGTTACGTATTTATCCATTTTTAATAAATAATATTATTTCCTACATAAAGTTTAGAATTTTGTAAATACTTTGACATTTAATATTAATCGAAACTACATTATTATACTTATTATTTAAAAAATGTTTTCGAACATCATTTGTTAATAACATACAATATAGAGCAACATACATAATTTTTAATTAATTTTACATGTTCTAGGAAAAGATATCTTGATTCTAATGTAAAAATTAAAATTGGCTTTTAATCAGATATCCCGATGTACGAGGGGTATGGAGTAAAAGTTTATTTGGTATTTAAATATTATTTAGAAAATAAATTCTTACCATCAGGCGTCAGGCGGGCGGCTTGAATAGAATATCTGGGAGCGAAGTTGCCAGTGAAGAATGCGGTATCTACCAAGAATCCTGGGAGTATTGAAAAATGATATTATTACCAGTGCATATACAGTGCAAATTTAATAGGTTGCAACCTATTAAACTTATTAAATTGTACTTAAATAAGAGTTACAAATATTACTAATCAGAGTGTATCGCGGTGAATATAAAAATATTTTTAATTTGATGACGTTATTCATTGGGAATTATGTCATTAGGATAAGTGGTAAAGTGTTTTTTTAACGTAGTCCGTAGTAACGTATCATTTGTCCGTTTTTTTTTTAATTTCTATATATTATACTATATAAAGCTCGTGTGCTAACCAAACTCCTCCGACACGAAATGGTCAATTACATGAACATTTTTAAGGTAAATTCAGAAGGTCTGAGATTAAGTTGTAATTATATTGTATACCACCATGTCATGTGTGTTCAACCCAATTTTATTTTAATGTTTTAATTAATTGGCATTAATAAAATATAAACCTTAGTTATCACCTTCTAACCATCCCCCATTTTTAATAGCAATTAGTACTGTAATAATATGTATATGGCAAATAGTTTGCCGGGTCGGAACGAAGTTGTGGAAACTTATTTTTATAGAGAACGGGTGAACTCGTGTTACGAGTATCATACACAAATCTTTTTTATAGTCGGTTTTAATTTGACTTGATGTTTTCAAAAGCCAATCAATACAACAATGTATGTGCAAATTCTTCGATGTTTTTTGTATTACCGTTGTTATATATTGAAATGAAAAATCGCTAAACAGTAATTGAACTGGTATATTGTGAATCGTCTAAGATTTTTATGAAATAATAATATAATATAAAACTAAAGAATCAATCATTATTCTATATATTAAATAAATAAGTTACTAACAACAAAGACACATAAGCTATGTATAATATATAATCATAATTTATTTGGAACTAGATATTGCCCGACAACTTAGAAGTTAGTTCTTCTCGCCCTTCATATTAATGAACATTAATTTTAATATGAAAGAAAAATTCACGTAAACGGTACAGAAAGTATTTTTTACCTGCAATTATGCATTTGGAAGCGAGCTTCAATATACACCAGTCATGACCTGGTGTCCTCTTCCTTCTGGTTTCCCATCCATCCATCCACTTCCCAAACTCTGTAAATTCTTCAGGTAAGTTGACAGGATCTTTATCAGATATTATGTTTTCGCATGCTGCAAAAAAGTCATCCGTGGCAAAGAGAATTTTACCACCAGTCTGTAAAAAAATTGTAATTTTAATACATCTTCTAATTATTAATTAATATTATTACCTTACGCCGTAAGTAGGGAAGTTGGTAGGGTAGTATAAAACCTGATGCGTTTGAATTTTTATTAATTGTCTTTTATGTACTTTGATAATTTGAAATATAATTAATTTGTTTAATGTCAATTGTCATGCATGTTGCTATTATCTAATCTGTTATAACCGTCTTCCCGCGTAATTTTCCAATTCTACCAAATATGTTCTACATTAAATGTCTGGCTTATATTTCCATACAGTCTATGAAATGATAATTATATTAGACCGTATTTTGTCTCAAACAATCCAATTTAGATGATTGAATTGTAAGAGAAGCAAAATATTCTTTATTGACCCCTCGTGCACTTTTAAATATTCAATTAATATTAGTAAAATTTCGAAAAGATTCTTTATTTAAAGGAAATATTACGGACTTTGACATTATTTTTATGGCAATTTACGTCAAAAACGAAAAGTTAATATTGAATTAATATAAAAAGATTGTGCGATAGTTTCCCTTCCAATATATAAATTATCCATAGTGTTTTATAATCTCACTTATTTTTTTTTGTTGGACAGAGTTTGACCGCAATCTGATTTTAAACGAGATGCGGCCTATAAGCGAGAATTTAGCTGCTTTTATGACATCAATAGGAAAATAAGACATTTTTATTTGTGCTTTAATATTTTCGAAGAAGCGTAATTTCTGTTAATTATGTGATAAATAACTACTGTAGATTAAATTTTGTTTATTATAATTAGTATTGCGTTGTGTTACATTTATCAATCTCGCATATTTATTAACATATTATTATTCATTTAACATATTATTAAGTCAAGATATCTGTATAATACTTTGTCATGATATTTTTGTACCTTTTCCATAACTTACAGGTGTGTTAACACCTTAAAGCTATTGTCGCTTTAGGTTTAGAATCAAGCAACAAAATAAATGAAAATAAAATTGTGAAATCTGTCATATAAGCCAATACAAAAACATATTATAGTAATTTAAGCTCATTTGACAATAAATTTTTTGAAATAAAAGAAATCTCAGCAGCTAAACAATAATTATACTTAAGAACGCAGAACATATTTCGGCAAATTTTATTTTTGAAGTTTTTGTACAGAATAGGGAAAGAAATTCTATTCACATAAGTTTGTATATTCAGTACAAACAACAGTTTAGTAAATTTTTGTTTAACATATACAATATATATAGAGATCTGAGGCCAAAACCGATCGGTTTAGCGCCACTCTTTGTCGAGTAAAAATATCTAAAACGAACGATGAAAAAATTTTAATATGAGTATAATAGCGAACTTAATAACATAAGTCAACTTTTCGAGTGCTGAAATGCATTTTCTTTGATTTTTGAATCTATTAATTATGATTTATGAACTTTAAAAATAGTTTTTTTAGTTTTCCTTACTTGCTTGGATCGCTTATTTTAGCCGCCCGTTGGCTCCCTAATCATTTTATATAATTGATTGATTTCATATGAACGACAAATGCAACAGTGATAATTAATAAATAAATAAATGCGTAGTAGTAGCGTAAAATAAATACAACTTACGCTGTTGCTGGCAAATTCGTTAAATTCAGTAAACGCGGGCACTTTCTGATACATTTTGTATTTTAATCACCGAACTCCACTAACTTAAGACTGATCAAGCCAATTGTCGCTCGCTCATTTATATACCAACTGATAACAAACAAGCGAGAAATTAATTTATTTTTATGTATAAACTGAACGAAATTAAATTGTACATCATATCATTTAGTTTTGATGCTTTGTTAATTTTATATTTAAATAATATTTGGCACTTCCAATGGTGAGAAAATTTATAGAATTTCATTAAATAAATCCTTCCTTAATAACAATGTTGTACGAATCCTGAGCATTTTTAATAAAACAAAAATTATCATTTCACTTACATGGAAGAGATGATTTTTTGTATAATATATCTTTAATTGCAAATAAAACTCTGCTATGATAGGAATTTCTAAGATTAAACCTTGAAATCAATTAAAACAAAATATTGATTAATTAACACTTTCGTATTATATATACGTGTTAAATTATTGTTACATCAATTGAATATTGCTTTTCAAGCTATTTTTAATAACGACAATAAGAAAACGATAGCTTGCATTTTATTTTGCTTCATTTCATATTACTATTAATTGCAACTATACGTTATATTTTCATTCAAAACTATTCTTATCATATCAATAACTTAACTGAAATCAATGTAATACGATTGATAAAACAACATATGTGTATATATTATCAACAAAATCTTCGTAAAACCACATTAGTTATGGATGAAGCGTATAGAATTTAAATCAATTGTTTAAAATATTCTTTCTCATATCTCATTACCATTACAGGCCATTACCTCATGGTAATACAAAGATTATTGTATATGATTATTCATGTGATCCGTTTTATTAAATAGACAGCATGTCTATGTAGAAACGTGGAGAACATAATACCCATTATTCTTACGTAAAAAGTTTAAAAATGAATTAAATTTTGACTACGGCGGTTTTTTTCTAGCTATTTCCCTGGTTATGTAGTCGTTAGAGGTATTAAATAACTTATGTATATGTATAATTTAGGTAAATAGGATTTGCAAACTAGGATGATAAAGCACTACTATCTATTTCTTTAAACAACTTTTTATAAAACATTTACAGTAAATTCCAGGAAAATAACTTAACCTATTGTTCAACGACATACGGTGGATTTAGAGCCAAGACTTAATAATAATAACAATAAAAACTTTATTTATGACAAAAAGGTTGTAACAGAATTCATATATCGCTAGTCCCCACACTAGGGAGGCCCTGTGTATTAGAGGCCCTTAAAAAAGGATTTGATTTCCGTAAGAATGTTAGTCCTCGCTAAGTCTTGACTCTGTCTTACTAAATGACTCAGCTGTTATGGAATTGAACGTTCAGAGAGGCAAGTTAATTATAATTATATAATTAAGTAGTCTAACACGACCACATCGATACTTTAGTTTTACTTTATACGAACCTAATAATGGCAAAAGACATTTAATGTTTGTATTAGTATAAATCACTTAAGTGATACTGCATTCTCCTATTGCAGTATTTTTTACTAGAAAATCAACCTATCTAAGACCGTATTTGATATTAATAATTACTGAGGTTCTATCATTCTTAATAATCTGATAACATTAAATAGGCAAATGATGTTTTTTCTCATCTTCTTCAACATTGTCTGACACGTTCTATAGTTAAAGCAGTGAAATATAAATAAGTTATAAAACTGGTGATAAAATATTATGTGCATAATATTTCAACGTTAGTACCGAAAACTAATCCAAGGTTTAAAATATATTTGATGTTAAACTAAGTTATTCCCTCCAAATGTTGTTTTGGCATTTTCTATTACTAAACAATAAAACTAACAGGATTGTTTACCCAGATGTTGACAGGTCACGGATCCACAGTGACCTGTCTTGTCGTATCTTTACAGGTTTAGGGTTAGACAAAGTGCTGCCTGTCCTTGTAGTATACAGCTAAAGAGACGGTGTTACATGTCCTGAACGTCTATCCAATGACAGGTATAACACGGAACAAGCTTTGGGAAAGAAATAATGTGCAACGATAGGTTAAGAGGCATCTATCTGGAATTTTCTGTAAATGTTATACAAAAAGTTGTTAATAGAAATAGGTAGTAGTGCTTCATCATCCGGATTACCAATACCATTTACTTAAGTTGTACATATACGTAAGTTATTTAATACTTCCAACTAGAACATAGTCGGGGAATTAGAAAAAAAAATACATATATATTTGATGTGAAAAATATAAGAAAATCGATATTTATTAATACTTATTAGTTTGTAGAGTTATGCACGTCAATTAAAAAAATTTAAAGAGATCTAGTCGTAAAAGATTTACTACCAACTCCAAATTCAAGGGCGTAGAGCGGGTGAGGAATAGCATGAAACTATCTGCTACTCTTTTCAATCACCAAAATTTGGTTTACGAATCAAACCAATACACGAGATGTTTATATTACGATCATTTTAATGGAGACTGACACTGATAATCATAATTGTGTCGATGAAAGGTCAAATCTCAGAATTAATAACTAGTGAAATCTGCTATTATCAGAAGCAAACCGTATTGTATAGATAAATTTGTTTAGGGTCATCTCGTGTCTACAAAATTGCGCCACGCCTTATTAAATTGGTATTGTTTTGAAATAAGAAATGTAAAGTACACTAGGTGTGTTTTTGTGTTTGTAGTCTATATCTAATTTAGTTTTACGCTTATCCAACGTGGATAATTGAAAATCAGTGCAGTGGTAATTACTGTCAATAATGTCTAATGTTGAGTGTTTTTTGTTATTATTTATAAGTTAAATGTAACTTCATAAAATATAATTAGCTTTTTTAAAAAGGAACCTGCATGGCTTATGCAAATTGTTTGACGCACATTTATTCATTATTTGTTTTAATCTTTCTTATAGATTTTACTAAATCATGAACGCATTGTTTATAATAATATTATATCCTAAAATTGTTTTAACTAGTAGATTTCCAACTGTCTTACGCATCTACTGTTCTGTGTACGTATTACAATCCACCTTTTGCACATACAAATTCAATAATTTTGTTTTTGTTCTTTTGTTTAAAATAGATATCATTGTGGCATATCAGGTAAGGTCTGCCGAAATTTATCTTACCTATTAAGAACTAGCAATGTTGTGCATTATAATGTAAGTAAGATTAAACAATCATACGTATATGAGATTTTACTTTGTGTGAAATTAATTGTTGGAGACAAACTTTCTAATACACATTTCATATTTTTTTGTTGTTGATCCCGCTGCTGGGGGTTTTCTCGCGACTAGCGCAAGGGTGTCTCCTGCGAGACTCGGACCTTGGCTTGGGCCGTCGCGGGGTGGTCAATCGTCTGATTTGATACCCTATTTTGAATAACATTTCCCGCGCGGTTGGCTTTTAATTTGACGTTGGCTACGGTAATTAGATCATCCAGATCCGTTAGGACATGTCCGGGCCTACTACGGGCCTTTTTTGTCGGGAAGTGGTAATTATTGATGCTTTTACGCACAAATTCTATCAAGGGACCTTCCTATATTATATTGTGTTGCATGCTGTTTGTTGGCGCATACATAGACATATTTCCGTCTAATTAATCTAATGTTACAACTACTAATGAATTATACTTCACGAATTAGATCTATACTAAATAAACATTAATTTGAATGTTTTAATAAAAAAAATGAAAAACTGCACGAGTGTAATTATAGCCATTGAATAAGGATAAAAAAAGCTTTTATCAAGGTAAACAATATTAAATTAAGATTAAGCAAGTATTTACAAGTGCCGTAAGTAAACATCTAAAAATAATACTTCATTAGAAACTAAATTGATGTTTAACTGTCCATAATGATTGTTTCGCGTTTTTTTGCAGTGAGTCTAAATTGATCAGTTGACGCATGCAATCTATACAAATTTAGAGCTGTTTAATAATGTGTAATGTTTTCGAAATAATTTTTTGAGAATTAAATAAATATTTTACTTATAACTTATAAATTGTTAAACTAATTGACTACTTTATTTGTCTATTTGAAGAAAGTTATGGTACTCGTAGCCCTAAGTTTAGAAGTTATGTTTGAACTCTCTCGTTCCTCGTATACGATAAGCTGTACTGCGCGTGCCCTCGTGATACAGCGATCGTGTCTCACATCTGTCTCATCGTGGCATGCTACTCGAGACGTTTCTATACACATTACACATACATGCATGAGGCATTAGATTCTATAGTTTTATGAAGATAAGACGCCGTGTGTGCGTCGACCTGGAGACCACAACTTATTTTCTTTAAATGATTACGACCGCGCTGTTTAAATATAATATAACATATAAAGGTGAGCAAAGTTTATCAAAGATTTTAATAATTAAATTTCTCTTGTTAACTAACAGAGAGAAAGTCCTGATGTTTAAATTCATTACCGAAAATTTTTCACGTAATATAAAGTATAAATTCTGCTCACATCAATCCCAACAAATAAAACAAAAGAGAGTTATTAATACATTGACTTAATTAATTCTGGAACATTCCCCTGACCCGTTTTCCTTAATTTACATTTCATCCTCGAAACTCAGGGATTACATTGTAAATTCTTACTGAATACTGAGTACACACAAATATCTTTATATTTTGAATAATAAATGGCTTTTAGCCATTCAGTCTTGCTCGATCTTTCTAATTTTACAGTTTAGTTACATAAGTTTACCATAAGAAACATAAAAAGTCAGCAAATATATTTTTATAACCCGTTTATTGAACGCATGCATGTTTTTGAAATGTATAATTTCTTCTCTTAGCCATCTCTTTTGGGAAATCATTTGGATGTGGTAAACATGTTCTAATTTTAAGGATAACGTTTGTTAATTAATTAATTTATTTATTTGATCAACGGTATTCCAAAGCTACTTCTTAAACAATATTCAAACAATTACACTGTACACAATAGCCAAAACGGAATACACATTTAAACATACACAAAGCACAATTTCACCTATACAAATACAAAAAATATACAAAGAATATATGTATTTAGAATAAATTCTAAGTTCTAAGACCCAAGATTCATTGCTCATCATAATATATATTTAATACAAAGGAATAATTTTTAAATTATTTAAGTTTTTTAAAATTATTTTTTAAAATTTTTTTAGTAACATTAAATATATCTATTTGCTGGTAATTTGTGTTATAATCTGAAGGTATACGATACATGACTGAGTTACGTAAATAGTTTGTATTAGACCGAGGAATTTTAAATATTTGGGTTTGCCTTGTATTGTATGAAGAAGGGGTGTGAAATAGTAAATGCGACAATAAGTCAAGGCAGTCAATTAAACCGTTGCAAATAGCGTGTAAAAACATAAGGTCGTATTGTTTGTTTGAATATATTGAACCCCTAGTTGTTAAAGGATTTTGTAAAACAACCATATATGTATTAAGTTGTGGAATAGGCTGCCAGACTCCATACGATTGGCTACCTCCCTAACAACTTTTAAAACTCTTCTAAAGCATATCCTATCCCGCTCAATCGTGACTTTTGTAATTCTAGTATTTTTTATTGTTTTGTATTGCATCGCAATTCATGAATCTGTAAGATCAACGAAAATCATGTAAAATGTAAAATCAAAATCATCATCATTTTTAATTTTTAGTTATTTTATTAACAAAATGTTTTGTATTATTTTAGATTAAGGTTGTTTTTCTAAGATTTGGTTATGCGCTTCTTGCACTTAACACATCATATTTATATTTTTTCCTTACTAGGGTTGCCTGGAAGAGATCGATTGTTAGCGATAAGGCCGCCCGGTACATCCCTTATAATTTGTATGTATATATTTATATGTATATAAATTAAATTAAATTCATATATTTGTATGTATTATGTTATTGGCCTTCATAAAAATGCTTGGAAGTTATTACACATTGCATGTCTCAATCGAGACAGGCTATTTACCAAGATATATTATTACAGTACAAAAACGAAGGCACACTTAGGTGCATTTTTAACACACATAATCATGTATTTAAAATAAAGATTGGAAAATAACCCTTAAAATAGAAGTATCAAACTATGTTTAAAGGAAACAAATTGACTTCTTAATAACTAATATGAAAAAAGTCGTATTTTTTCCAATGGAAACCCACTCATTATATACTGTGATTTACTTACAACAGATAAGTCCCAGCCGTGGTTTTAGAATTGTTGTTGGTTAGGGTGTACCATAAACCAACATTTATTTATCATAAATGCTTCAAACAGTCCATTATCTAGAGCATGTTTGGTAGCGGTGGAAACGATCTTTCTCGTCATCTTGTACTGCGAGGGAGTGGCCAATGAACAACAGAAAATCATCGACGACTCGACGTTCAACCAAGAAGCCTATAAGCCCCGGGAGGCTTTTGAACTTCTGGAAGGAAATAATTGATTTAATAAACCAGCCAAACCTTCACGCATAATTTTCTTAAATATATGTTCTTCGTGAGATTATCGTGAGATCGGCCTCATACGGGATTTGAACCCTTATAATCTGCAGTCGAATATGCTAACCACTAAGCCTTGCACCAAGTTGAAGAATTTATCATAAACATAATGAGACTTAATATACAAAACTTACTTAGTTTTGCACGAAGTTTGTTCATTAATTGATAAAAATTATCAGTTCATTACATTCTAATTTCCTATAACATTAATTCAAGGTAAAAGTATACAACTAACATTTACAATAAGATATAACTCCATTACTTTTCGACTTTGTAAATGTTAATTATGAAAATGCAAAAAAATACCACTGACGCAACCTCGCTTCATGCATCGTTCCATTACGCGCTGTCTTCGCTATGATAAATCACCTAATACTGTTTATAAATTATTATAAGGAGTTTTGTTACTGCAAGAGGAATATATTAAGAAGTAGATGACCAAAACTGTATCTAAGTCTAGTGGTATTCTAGGAAGATTGAGTCCTTCCTTCCTCTAGATAAAATCAAATAAGTCGCAAATAAAGTTAGAATGTAAACTTCTAACTAGCTATCAAATTGGCACTAACTTTGTAATTTTCCTAGTTATACCCAATAGAACATATAATCGATTTAACTTTAAAATCATTTCAAATCACGTAAGATACTGACGACAGAATAAAATTAATCATTAAGCTATATTCTTTCTGGGCTGCCCGGTCTGGGGATTAATCAACTTTTTATTTAACATTAAAGACGCCATAACTGAGAGATTGTTTTAAGAGATTTTAGCAAAAATAAGTCTTTAATCATAAAAAATTGTTAGAACAAAGAATTGTTGGAAATTGAATTATTTAAAAGAGTACCATTTCTTAAAAGGCCGGCAACGCGCTTGCGAGCCTTCTGGCAATATGAGTGTCCATAGGTGGCGGTATCACTTAATATCAGGTGAGCTTTCTGCCCGTTGGCCTCCTGTTATATTAGAAAAAATAATAATAATAACAAAATATACACATATTTTGTTATTATTATTATTTTTTCTTCCAATACGATTCAATCTCACTTGCGCCATCTGTTTTTTTCTAGTAAAGAAAACATGTTTTTTAAGGGGCCTCATAGCCTTGCGGTCTTATTAGGTGGCAGCTAGGTGAGGGGTATTCCCGGTTCGAGAGCAAGCTTTAATTTAATTTAAATTTGTTCTCGGCCTTTGGGAGGGTTGAGCGGTACCGGGCGAGTGCCTAAACCGTACATGGAGGACACGGTCGAATTTCTAAAGACAAGCACGAATTATAAAAAATCCTATACTTGACGCTGGCTAATGCACAAATCGTGCCAGAGCCATAAAAAAAAAACATGTTTTATGTCACTATAATGACTGACTCTATCTAATATATTTAAATCACTTCGCTTTGTCACTCAACTAATTAATAAAGAAACAATGTATCTTCTCTGTGAAGTACAAAATCTATTCTTAAAATAACTTACATTGAATAACATTACTGTAGAGACGAGTTGATAAAGAATTTCATTAAAATTTTCAAACTAACAGCATGCTAAATTATGATTTTTTAAAATGCACAAAGTTTATAAGGTGCTAGATGAATATTTTTACAACCGGCGACGTAAAACAAACCGGAGCCGGGCGAGCGCTGTCGAGTTACTTTCGTGGAAAATTTTTAAATTTTCCTCTGAAATTACAATAAAAACTACTACAATTAGCGTAGCCAGACTAATATTACAATGTTCGCTGCTATTTGTATGAAACATTACTGGCGTTGATGGATTACGTAACATTTAAAAGGTGTGATTACATCTTTCTCATGAAAATATTTAGTGATAACAAATTATAGTTTCCGTTGTGTGAAAATAACGAACGAATCATATATTTGCACATATTTAAAATCTATAAAGTAAAATTGTTCAATCACACGGCCCGGTTTATATTCTAACGAAGGGGCTATCTATTGGGGAGTTATGCTGTAAAGCAATAAAACAGTATCTTATAAGAAATATTAATATCAGTAAGATATTAATAATTTCTTAAATTATTAAAATCTTACTGATATTATTATATAAATATAATATATATTAATGAACGAATATTTAGCTAGTAATGAATATGTAGACGCCTTTCCAAACTTCCAATTGTAAATCGAATACAAATTTTTTTTTAGTTATGATTAAATTAGTACACCAATTTGAGTACATGTTATTATATTAGTTTTATAAAAATAAAATTGTTTAAATATCCTTTTCGGTATCAAAAACCCTTATTTTCCATCGATCGTCTGACAGTCTTGCTATATGCCCTGCACATTTCCATTTAAGATAATAACTGGAGTTAATTAAATGCTTTACAGCAGTAGTTGTGGATAGTCTCTCGTTAAACAAAGCCTGTCGCAAAGTTTTTTTTAAGTAGTTGCTGTGTATTAGCCGCGAAAACCAAAATGCATTCCATTCATTTAAAATTTGTATAAACATAATACCATCTTAGTGTCTATAGAGCTTACTCATAACGAAATATCTTACGCTAAAGGAATTTTTCTCATTTTATAAATCTCTCAAATCTCCCCAATACCTAATCTCGTTCACAAGATTTCCTCCCTAATTTGAAGACGTTGTCAATTTACGTCACGAGGAAAATCTATGCTGACCTCGCACCTCGGATGGTAAGAATATATCTTATACTACTTATAACTAATATTTAAATATAATAACTAATATTTTAATATAATAACTAATATTTTTTGTATAAAATACTAAATAGGATGTCAAAGCTATTTAGTTTTTGCTACACAGACGCAAATACAGACATCGGCACGGACACTGGCACAATTTTCTAGGCCGTATATTGACCTTATTCAATCACGAAAACGACCATAGATAATTTTTTTATATTTAAAGGTCTTATATTATGCTAGAAATAAAACCAAGGATATGTCGAAGCTGTTTAATACAAAAATATATATCTATGTTTAAAAAAGTTAGTTGAAGTAGCACCTAATTATGTGCCGCAAAAAATATACATTTAATAATTGTTTACAAATATCAAAAACACGGACCATGTTTTGTATTCAGTTATAACTAAATTAAATTATTTAATATTAATAACAAGTGAATAAAAATTATTTATTCAAATTTATCGGTGTTCATAGCCGGTATTTGGGACGGTAAGATTTAATAGAATTTAATTTGACAGTTTTATGAATTCTTTATAGAAATAATTAAGTTGGTGGTATGAAGCAGAAAACTTAGAAAATGATTATAAAAGCTCTGTTGTTAAGAAAACTTTTCCTTAAATATTTGGAGTACCAAATGGGAATCTCAACGTTCACATTCAGACAACATTTGTTTTGCATATTATATTAAGCCATGGTAAGAAATGTGGACCCACTAACGCTTAATATATTATCACTTATATATTGACAGTATTCAACGAAGTGCGGTTCGAATCGCCGACGACAAATTTTCCGAGCAGCTTGATCCTTTGGCGTTGCGTAAAGATATGAATCTTTTACCGCATTTATCAAGGAGAGTGTTCAGGGAAGTTCTTCCGATTAATACCTGCAGCTGAGTTTCAACGAAATTCTGTATCCAATCGGTGGATGTGGTGCCGGTCCACTGCCGTACGTTCCGCAACCACAACTTCCTCCTTCTAACAGCCCGTCTCTTGTCTTGAATTTTCTCCATCATTATAAGCTAAAGTCGTATCAATGACGAAAAAGGTGTCCGAGATACGCGACTTTCCGTATCTTAACAGTATACATAAACTTTCGCGTCGTCTCAACTTATTACTTAAACGTAAATAAAAAAAATTACTGTATTAGAAAAAACACTTTTTTAACGGATTTGAAGTTATGTTTTATTATAAATTTACAATTATTTTACATAATTTTAAATTTAACCGACGTTTCGCATGCTTTACAGCGTATGAGGTCACGGTGACTGAAGACAAAAGGTGTTGAATGTCAAAAAGTATCACAGCTGTAGAAAAAGTTGTGTTATCTGTATTTATTTCCCCGGAGCTGGTATCGACTATAAAATAATTGTAAATTTATAATAAAACATAACTTCAAATTCGTTAAAAAAGTGTTTTTTTCTATGTCTAAAAGTTATGTAAATAAAAGACAATACAATTTACTGTATTAATTGCCAACAAAAATGGTTTCACTGGCTTCATTAAATTAGCTGATAAGCTGTTACTTTATTTAAATATAAAAAAACAAAGCCGTGTTAGTTACATAACTTATAACTCGAGATCGGCTGGACCGATGTTAGTTATCTATTTTTTTTATAAATTCTTCTCCGCTGCGGATATCAGAATAAGTAATAAAATATCGGATAAATTATCGAATAACAATAAGTTAATTAATTAATTTTACGAATGCAAACAGCATGTGGTACCATCTGTTGACAAAACTACGCATCATTTGGACATCGAGTTCGTGTCAGTTCAAGAAATTCCGATCTTGAGGTGAATGAGGAGATGCATAACCAGGCTTTGATCATGATTGAAGATGACCTCATCCAAAAATGTTGTATATCAGAAAGTGCTTTAACATGCAGTATCGCAATATTGGCGCTAGAGAGAAGAAGCCTAATGTGTAAAACTGCCATTCTCCTTTCGCAATGGCAAGCAATAAAACATTTCTGTATTTGCGAAAAAATTTATTAATGTTAACCTTAATGAAATCCTAAAATAAGTTTAACTAAAGTTCACACGATATTATTAGACTGTAAGGTGGAATGAAGTTCGCCGGGTCAGCTAGTTACAATTAAACTAATGATTCTGAGTATGTTTGAATATGTTAAACATAATGTTTCAAACTCTCGAAGATTTAGATCACTGTAAAATATACGTGACAAAAATATTGAGAACTACTTTAATACGTTCTCACAGCCAAGTCTTGCTAGAACGGAATAAATTGAATGAATTCCCAGGGTAGGGCTTCAGTGTTTAATAGCTACATTTTGTTACATGCCCCTGTCCCACTGCTCCAGCGCTGGGCAGACGCTTGATAGCTTCGTTTCTGTTTGACGACACACGTTTTTCGCTTAAAAGTTAATTGAAAATTTTAATGGCATTCATTTTGATGGTCGTTCTGCATGATCGCTCTGAGTAGTTTCAGGATTTTGAATGACACAAGTGCGTCATTACACTTTATCTCCTCGTTTATAATATATTTTTTGGCTAAAAAATATGTCCTCAGTTAGTTTTAAACACCAACTTCTATAGCATTCGAAGCGTCGAATTTTTATTATTTATTACTATAGTTGTACGTATAATGTACTTTTTTATACGGGTTGGAGGATCAGATTTTAAGTGAATTGTGTCACATGTACACTCACATTGGTAGGGCTCCCAAGTGCATTGCCGGCCTTCAGGAGTCAGTAATCCCTTTTTTGAAGGACCTTCAGTTGTCTTGGTTCTTGGAAATACAAGTTTATGTTTATGAAAACATATTCCCGTAGAAAATATGTTTCATAAGTTCTCACTATATTTAAATAAATTTGTAGTTTAAGAGACATTATTATAATAATTAAAATATTTAAAGCTACGAGTGCAGGCTCATTAATTACGTTATGTTTAATAATCGCACGTTATGCTAATTAAGACTAATGTATATTTTATGCTCATTAAATAATTAAGTTGAAATATAAATTCAATAGAATAGTTATGTTAGACAAAATTAATTTCCGTTTGTATGAAATAAAGTTTATATTTAGAGATTTTCTACCATCTGTGACAATATATTATTTATCTAACAGCAAGCATCTACTTTTTATATGAATTACCAGGGACACAAAGGATGTCCTAACTGATTTGTTTGTTCACACGGGTACAGAATAATCCCCGCCATACATTAGACAGTTAACGAAATCTGCTTTTGGTTCGAGCTTCAAGCTTCCATCCTCTTGGGACGAATTGATAAATACTTTTGGAATAGTGTTTAATTCCTGTATATTTAACTGGAGCGTACTTTAAAATAACTTATATTCGAAGTTTTTAGAAATAATTGAAATAAGGATACCTTTAATCAGATAGAAAATAATAACATAATTTTAAACTTAAACTTAACACTAGTGAGTCGGTGACACCGACAACCCATCTGTTTGCCCAACTTTGGCAAAGGCCTCCTCCATTTCTCTCCACTCTGCTCTGTTCTGAGCTTTCCTGGTCCAAATTTTCCCAGTTACGGATTTTATTTCGTCTTCCCATCTTCGAAACTGTCTACCTCGTTTTCTTTTATTATTTCTTGGGTACCAATATATGATCTTTTTGTTCCACTTTTCTATACCTCTTATTACGTGACCAGCCCATTTCCATTTCAATCTTCGTATCCTCGTTGTGACGTCTTCAATCTTCGTGTGGTTTCGTATGATTTTATTATTGATTCTGTCGGACTTCCTGATATTTAGCATGCTTCTTTCCATCGCCGTCTGGCATGTCTTCAATTGCCTGGTTTGCATTTTAGTGAGTGCCCAAGTTTGGTAGCCGTATGTTAATACCGGAAGTATGCAAGTGTTATACAGCTTTGATTTGACATTTATTTTTATTTCTGTGTTTTTCATGATTTCGCTAAGCCCCCAGTAACATTTCCACGCTTTCCCAATTCTTGTATCAATTTCCTTCGACATTATACCAGTGGTTGAGATCTGTTGGCCCAGGTATGTGTACTCTTTCACATAATCAATTGACTCTCCATTTACTATAATAATATCTTCTGATGCATTCGTCATGGCTTTAGTTTTTGAGGTGTTCATTGTTAGCCCTACCTTGCGGCTTTTCCTCTCCAGGTCTGTAATCATAATTCGTAGATGCTCTTTGTTTGTAGCAAATAGTATGATGTCATCGGCGAATCGTAGGTGTGTTAGTTGTTCCCCGTTTATGTTTAGTCCGTACCCATCCCATTTTAATTCTCTGAAGATGTCTTCTAGTACAGCTGTGAATAATTTAGGTGATAGGGGGTCTCCTTGACGTACACCTCTATTTATTTTGATTTCTTTTCCTACTTTTTCTAGTTTTATTCTAGCGGTACTATTCGTGTATATATTTTTTAATATTCTGATGTACTTTGGGTCGACTCCTTGATTTTTGAGGCAGTGCCAGATATTTTCGTGCTCTATTGAGTCGAATGCCTTGTTGTAGTCTATGAAGCAACAATAGAACGGCACATTGAATTCTTTGGTTTTCTCAAATATTTGTCTTACCGTAAGTATATGGTCTAATGTTGAATATCCCGCCCTGAAACCAGCCTGCTCTATAGGTTGATTTTCGTCCAGATTTCGGGTTATTCGCCGCAAAATTACTTTCGCAAAGACTTTATAGATGTTTGACATTAAGCTTATCGGCCTATAATTGTTCATGTCACTCCTGTCACCTTTTTTGTGGAGGAGGATGATCGTTGATGTGGTCCACTGTAACGGAATTTGTTCAGTGCTCAGTATATCGTTAAAGATGTATTTTAGTAGTGGTGATATCTCTTTTTTGCAGACTTGAAGCATATCATTATTAATCCCGTCAGGGCCGGAAGCTTTATCCTTCTTCTGGGATTCAATTGCTTTGTTTATTTCTGCTTCTATTATATGAGGAACATTATCGTTGCTAGTTAAGTCTATATTGTATGTATGATATTTGCTGGAGTAAAGGTTCTCATAGAATTTTGTGGCTATTGATAAAATATCCGATCTGATAGTCCTTGTCTTGCAAAATTGGTCTTTCATATTAGGTATCCACTTTGTATTGTCAGATAAGAGCTTAAGAGCCTTTTTTATGCCACCCGTCTTGATGATATGTTTTTCAAAAGTGTCACGTCTAAGACGTTCTCTGTCTCTTCTCATTTGGCTCTTAATTTCTTTGCTAGTTTTTCCTATTTGTTCTCTGATAGATTTTGTTTTGTAAGTCATTTTAATTAATTTTGATCTTTTTTCTATGAGGTCTTTTGCTTTAGCTGATATGTGGCCATTGTCCTGTGATTTGGTTTTAGACGTGGTTTTCGATCTTGCTGTTAGTATCTCGTGTATTATGTTGTATTTCTCTTGAGTTTTTAGGTGCTCGAGCGATGATACCTGCACGGACTTGAGGTTTTCTTTTATGTTGGCAATACTAGTGTTGCTGCACATTGTGGATGTTTTAATTTTGAAGGGTCGACATAACTTCAAACTAAATGATGCGTTTAAACACGCTCTAAGCATTCTATGGTTACTGTTGAAGTTAAGGGTAGAGATGGTGCCACAGTCGTCGATTGATTTGGGTCTGTTCGTTAAAAAGTAGTCTATTTCATTTTTGTATCGACCATCTGGTGATATCCATGTCCATCTTCTGGAAGCTCTTTTTTGAATACACTATTCATTATTTTCATATTATTTTCAAATGCCATTTCCATCATCTTTTGCCCGTTTCGTGTTCGTTTTCCAGTACTGTAAGGACCTAGTACGACATCTTCACCGTTTCTTGGGGTTCCAACACGTGCATTGAAATCGCCCATTATAATGCAGTTTTTGTGTGAGTGTTCTTTTAGGGCGGTGTTAAGGGATGAGTAGAAAAGGTCGATCTCTGAACTCGTTGATTGCTCAGTTGGTGAATATATTTGCACTATAGACCATGTTTCTCTGCCTGGAGGGATTCTAACATTCAATATAGCGATCCTTTCTGATATGCCGATTATTGCCACTATAGAGTTTTTGAGTTC